TTATTGTTTAAGGGTTAAGCAGTTATGAAAAAAATAATTTATTGAATCAATATGTTTAATTGAACCATTATTAAAAAAAGAAAGATTTTTTTGTTACATGTATGATAAGTTCAAAAACTATTAAAATGAATCTATTTGCCATTGAAGCTTTTTAGGACTGCTGTGAGTTTTTGAGTTTTCTATATAAAATTATCATAAATGAACATATTTTCTAGGAATTGAGTCTATTGCATTAGATTGCAATTCCCATAATATTGCAATATATTACAACTGAAAATTATTTGCAATGCCAACCGAAAGGTCCATGACTTGAAAACGCAGTACAATTATAGTGGTAGAGTCATTTCATCATTTCATATAAAGATAAAACAGAAAAGCGAGTCTGATAAAATTATGAGATTTTCCGTACCGGATTTATGAGACGCAAAGACAGCTGTTCAATAGGAAGGACAATGACGTCACTTAGTTTAACTCAATTGTTCCTTACCAGCCACTTATCATGCTTATCAGCTTTCAATATGGTTTCAGTTAAAACAGTTTCCGCCAATCTGCATAAAATCCTCATACTGTGATATAGGTTATGGTTTTGTAGATGCTAAGTATATACCGTTCTATCTTCTGTAAACTTAATCAACATCCCCGTTTGTTTCGGAGCTGGCGCCGATAACAAAATCTAGCTAGAATGTAATGCTCTTGATTGTCTTATAAAACAATAAACATTGCATCGTACTCTGCAATTCAGATCGTCACATATACATTGATAATTAACGTATCTGTCTACCGTTTTCTATCAGTATGGTAGTATCAATTCATATCACGTCAACCGTTAATCAAAACATATTCATATTATTAAATAATATAGAAAACAAAGTCATATTAATGGGAATTCCCGTGTTTCAACATACCTCGATATTGACAAGCAGAGAAACATGTTTACTTAATTTTACTTAATTACCCTAAATATCATAAATTCAAAGCAACTGCTGCGTACTGCTAATATCAACGGGATTTAAAGTAGATTTCTATTTTGAAAATATCAACAAAGACGTTTAATTATTCAGTTATGATATATATATAATTGAATGAAGAAACCGAGGATTCTTTAAAGTAAAATGGCATTTCAAACCTCTTGGGACTGCTGCCCGTAGGTTTTACCCTGTCTATCAATAAAATATTTATGTTTTAATAACCTTAGAATTGCATAGAACATCATAATCAAATTACAGTACGGAACCTTTCCGGGTTCTTTTGCCATGTAATGTTAAAAAAAAAAAACACTCAGAAAAGTATTATCTTTTAGTGAAAGTGTAATGTGTATGTATATGTTTATTGTTTATTTCATAGACTCATCAATTCCTTACATTAACAACAACGCCATCTGGTAACATGTTTACAGTGTCGTTCGATATGACGTCATAGAACAGCCCTTTGTTTGTGTGTACCTACGTTTCGCCGACAGCAACAATGCAATACTGCAGTGGTGCTACGGTAAAATGGCTTTCTTCACGCCTGTCGTCCTCAAGGCAATTAAAACTTCCGGAGAGAAGATAAACATTTTTTTTCTGACATTTTGAGAATAAATCCTATTCAAAAATGAAATTAACTTTCCTTAAAGTTTTTAATGATTATCGAATGAATAAACTTAATTCAACAGAAACTTGTCACGGAAATCAATTCTAATGTTGTATATCAAAATTGATTTGCTCGACATAAATACATTATTCAATTTTTTGATTGATGTCAGTTTGATTTAAACGTGCGATGTAAGATGTCCTTTTGTATTATGTGGCCCGGTAATCTGTATAATCATTATAAATTTCCATATTGAATATCTCAAAAAGTGAATGCATACGAAAATTTTACATTATTTGTCATTCATTGTTTATGATAAATCACCATTGCATACAGACCTTAACACGGCCATCTGTCTTCGACATTTTGGCGAGCAATGCATTTTGAAAAAAAGGGTGTTTCAAAGTAATTCCTGGATAAAACCAGGAATCAATAAGAATGCTATGCTCTTAAAATTATTCTTTTATTGACAATTTAATTTGTTTCTGTGTGATTTCATTTTTAAGAAGATTTTGAAATATTGAAAGTGTTTTTTACCCACATTAAGTCAATAGAAATGCTTTCAAGCCTTCTTTGATTAATAGACACGAGGCTTTGTTAAATACCTTATAACGTTACTGCTGGTTATTCTCTGAACGATTTGAAACAAAATCGCAATGCTGCAAATTTGCAAGGGAAAATCATCATAAAATAAAACAAAGTATAACTGCATAATCGTATTAAGGTTTTTTTAACCATCATTCAATTTTATCGCGCTTATCGTTGATGAGTGCGCAATTCCTGGAACAGCCGACAACCAAACTTCAACAAGACCAAAATTGTGTAGATTAATATAGTGCATTATCAGTTTAAGGTAATATATTCCTATACGTCATAGGAAGTGCAACTGCTTAATGGGGGAGTTACAATTCTCACTTCTGATGACAATAACCTAAAAGGGACCGTTATCTCATCCAGATAAAGTGTGCTTCAACTTCAACAGGACCACTGCTTTCGAGAAGTACAAAGAAATCGTGGAACAAACCACGACATATCGATTACGGATTTGATAACACTATTAAGTCCCCCAAACGAAGTTTGGGGACTTATTGTTTTTACTCCGATTCTTTTTATTATTATTATTCTTTCTTCTTCTTCCGCTTTCCGCCGTGGAGGTTTCTGACACTTTTATCAGAAACTGTAATTCGGATCTTCACCAAGCTCTAGCCTCTAGATGTGCAAACACTTTCTTGATTTTCCGATTACCATCCAAGATTTGAATTTTTGAATTTTTGGGGATTTTTTTTTTTTTAAAGGTGTTCGCTAAAGATAGCCAATGTCACCTATCCTATTTTACATCTTTTATAGATATTTTCCAATGAATTCCAAATTTGGCATGTAGGTGTATGATGGTACCACGAACTCAACTATGACATCCGTTTTCTTATTAGACAAAATGGCTGCCATATAGTGGTTACTGATTAGTCGAAACTCCGTTATTGTTCGATTTCGCTTAATTTCAGTATGTATGTGTAGTATGGCATTACAAACTCAACTGCAACATTTGTTTTCTAATTTGACAAAATGGCCGCCATATACTGACTTCTGTTTCGTCGAAATTAAAATATATTGTTCAATTTTTGTGAAAATTGGTTAACAGGGGTATTAGGGGACTGCGAATTGAATCGCATAGGATATGTTGCCATATCAACCACACGGAGGCTTCTGATTGGTCGAATTTAGAAATTGTTTGTTTTCACTCAAATTAAGTATGAAGGTGTATAAAGGCATTACATTTTGTAATTGCGATCATTTTCTGATGTATCTTTGCGACTATGGGGAAGATTGATAAAAATTGGTATATAGGAGTATTAGGGGCTGCGAATTCAACCGCATATGTTTCGTTGCCATAACAACATCATAGCAACCACACGGAGGCTTCTGATTGGTAGAAATTTAGATATTGTTTGATTTTAATGAAAATTGGTATATAGGAGTATTAGGGGACTTCAAATTAAACTGCATAGGTTTCGTTGCCATAACAACATCATAGCAACCACACAGAGACTTAAGATTGGTCGAAATTTAGATATTGTTTGATTTTTATGAAAATTGGTATATAGTGGTATTAGTGGACTGCAAATTTACCTGCATAAGTTTCGTTGCAATACCAACAACATGGAGGCTTCAGAATGGTCGAAATTCAGATATTATTCGATTTCACTCAAATTTAGTACGAAAGTGTTTTATGCCATTGTGAACCTTTTTCTGATGTATCTTTGCGACTATGGGGGCAGTTTGGTGGACTTCTGTAATGGTCCCCCATTACAATTAGTACTTGTTATCTTTTACAAAACAAGCCATAGCTTGGATCTATGTAATGTTTATGAATGGAGGGTTGAACAATCTCAATGTTTCTTGGTAATTCCGAATGGATTAATATACCGTTACAAAATATTGTAAATTATTAGCAAAGAAAAAGCATCAAAACGGTGAATGAACTGGTGCTTTCATTTGTTATCAAAGCATAACGCAAACGTGTAGATACGATTCTTAATTTATGTTGATTGCTATATCATTATTTTTTATATTCTTTATCTGTAAATTTGAAATTGCAATTACAGCGCCAATACAATTTGTTTATCCACAGCTAACTTGTTTTCCGTCTCATAATAGAGTTTGACGGCTTACCAATAAAATGGGTACATGTAATACAAGGGCAACCAATCAGACAATGGATTTACGGTACGTGTGACAGGGGAAACAGGAAGACATGAAAGCTTCAGAAAATGGTAGAACGGCCAATATACAAAAAAATCGTTGCAACTGAAACAATAGTTGTAGGAAAAATAAGATCGTATCATGTACTATCATATAGCACATCTATTGTTTCCTGGAACATGCGTAGATGTCACGTTTCCTGCCCAACATCACAAAACCGAATAACCTAAAAGACGGAATTGGTAAAATCAACTTTAAGAGAAAATGTTACATATAACTGAGTTGTACACATTTCGTTTGATGGAAACTTTACAGAAAATCTTGAAGAAATGTGGTACACTTTGCAAAACAACTTATCGGAGCCGTGGTACGAGGCCTTTACAGAAAATTTACTACTTTACAATGTTGTAACTGAATTGTGGAGCAAAACCTTTACAGGAAATTTATTTCGTACCGAAGCGCTGCTAACATTTGATACAAAAAAACTTTACAGAAAATTTAGTACTAAACAAAGTTGTAGCTGAAATATCGTACAAAGTCTTTAAATAAAAAATAACTGTTACTTTCCGATATTGTAGCTGAATTGTGATACAAAACCTTGACAAAAAAATTCTATTTACCGAAGTTTAAGCTGAAATGTGGTACAAAATCCTAAAAGAAAATTTCGCATTAACCGAAGCTGTAACTGAAATATTGTACAAAACCTCTACAGAAAAGTTAGTACTTACCAAAGTTGTAGAGAAGATGGGGTACACAACCTTTACAGAAAATTTCCACCAGCGTAACAATGTTATATGGTGTCCACGTCACTATAAATGCCAACAAAATAGCACTCAGTGTCTTTGCGGCCTTTTTCTCCTGTTTCTTTTCCGAACGTTTTTTCCTCGCTCGTTGTTGCTTCACTTTGTAAGCAACCTGTGCCGCCAACTTCGCGTTTTGCGCAGATCTTTGCGCATCATTGGAGCGCGTTCTCCGTCCCAATGCCGGCGTCCCTTTAGGCGGGGGTAAACAATTCTCTCTTTTTCGTTCTAAACTTTGAAATGAAAATGTAGACTCCTCTCGTGCTAAACCCTCGTTCGATAAAGAGTCACTATCGTCCTCTGATATTTTTGAATGTCTGTTCGGTGACATGATATCGGCGTCATCGTCGTCAGTCAGCATTCGTATCGAAGGCCCGACTTCGGAATCGGTTTTTGTATTTGGGAAGTTAATCACTATTGTATATAGATCCTCGCACTCTTCTATAAGGGGCTCATCACAATCCCTACTTTGCTGGGGTGCCAAGCCCTCTCGTCGATTACTCGGTGCAAATGGCGACCGGTCATCCCGCTGATTCCTGGAAATCAAAGGTGTGAATCTCGCTGCCTCCATCGCCATAAGCGGAATTACCAAATTACTCGTGTTGTTGCTTTTCCTTTTCCCACTTGATGTTCGTCCATTCATTTGTTTATTTGTCGTTCTATTTTGATCAGTGGTGTAAATCTGAGATCGAACTGACGACGAGTGTGCATCCGAAAATGAACTGTTATTGGCGGTCGGAGAGGCGGGGTCGCTCGCGCTTGACTCATCCGCGTCGTAGTCACGATCGATCTTGCAGCACGAGCACCTTGACCAGATAGATTTATCGGGTTCGACCAACATGTCGGCAAGGTCGTAAACATCATCGTAGTCATTGTCGTAACGACGCGCGTAGAAATCGTAATCGTTGATATTTGACGCTTTCTTCTTTTTTATCATTTCTTTCATCCCTTGCAACATCGGCATCCGTTTCTGTCTTTTCCGCGTTTCTTTGTAAATTTTAAAATATAACACAGTCATTATAGTCACTGGGATATAAAACGCGATCAGATGGGTTCCGATTGTGACGTAAGCATTTGTGTATAGAAACTGTATATAACAATCTGTTTCCGGTACAGTTCTTTTACCTTCGAGATATGGCCAGGCGAATATCCATGGCGTCCATAGCAACGCAGAGACCACCCATGACATTCCTATCATAATAAGCACCTTCTTTGTTGTCCTTTTTGCCCGATACGTAAGCGGCCTCGTCACCGACAGATACCGATCGAAGCTGATAAGCATGAGGTTCGCCGCAGAAGCGTTACTCATGGTATAATCTATGGAGAGCCAGAGGTCGCAATAGAGAGATCCAAGCGGCCAGTACCCCATCAAGGTATACACTGTATACAACGGCATGGACACAAACCCTATAGCCATGTCAGCTACTGCAAGGTTCAATAGGAAGTAGTTACTTATCGTCTGTAACTGTTTGTCTACTTTAAAGGCGATTATCACTAACAGGTTACCGATAATCGTCGCAGGAGCAAGTGTTACAATAAGGATTGAAAGTGCAACGATTTCCGGAAGTGTGTGCAAGGGTTCGGTTACTGTCGTTTGATTGGTCCAATTTCCAACATCTGTGACGTCAACGGTAATAAAGTTTGAAAGCGAGGTTGTCGTGACCTGCTCACTTGTAGTCGACAGCGGATCGACCTGAGAGGATATGCTAAATGGGGCGAGATTAGATGACGCAGTGCTTTGCAGAATTGCTCCGATAAACGTCGTCAACGAAGTTTGTGTGGTATCGTATAATTTTGCGGGATCCAAAATCTGAGTTACGTCACTTGACCAAGAAGTGGACGAAGCAGAAAACTTTCCTGAGTTTTCTGCTGTTGCATTATTTATCGCCATTTTTCTATCACCTCCATTTTAATTTAGTTTTGAAATTTCTCTACACTCTCCGTGCTTTAGAATACACAATTTAACATCATTTTTAAAGATCCACATTTGTTGCCCCTTCATGAAATTACACTTCTGTCCTCTCATCTGACGCAAAAGTAAAGCTAGAATCCATGTAGATTTTTCACGTGTATATTCTATATAATGCTTGATTTATTAGCAGTGTAGACCCAATCTTATCAGTTCACACTGTTGTACTACTACACATCCATGCATACAGATATCGTATATTTCTATTGTTTCACTATGCTGTAAAGCAGTCGTACACTTGGCAGAGTTACAGGCTTTCCAACGTTTTCCCAAATTGATCGTCTGCTTCTTCAATGCTAGTCGACTCTCGTAACACGCAAAGCATCTGGAAAGATTAAAATTAGAAATTAAGATAAAACATATCAATGAACTATTGTCAGTGTTATGGCCAAAGTCGCATGGTTCACTCTATATCTAGCCACGACAATACAAAATCGATAGCGAGGCTCGTTTATCTTTTCCCGCCAAAGTGTTTCATGAATGGAGATGTCGATTCGCACGACCCATACTAAGTCATTTTTGCGTTGGTCAGGGGAAAAAAGACGCAATGTCATGTTAATAGCTGTTTGTAAAGTCGTGTAAAAACTTGCTATCAAACGCCATTCAGCCTGTGTCAAAGTCAGACTATCTCGATCCCGTGGTTTTTCATAGTTAGGGAAAATTAATAACGGGCCGATACATCAGACAGCCCGGTGTTGTGATGACGGGGCGGGAACATTTCCAAATCATGCAACAACAGCTTCATTATATACCATTATTGATCAACTCTTGTCTGTATGATGCACAAAAGAAATAGTATAGCAGATTAATTGGCGAGGCTGAAACAAATGATGGCGGGTTCATGGAGTGGTCTAAGTTTAAGGCGTCTCGATGGTTAATATACCGAAGTCTCACCCTTCGCATGATGGCGGGCAAAACTTGCCAGACCCAACAGGCATATAAACATTACTATATGATCAAATCTGCATTAAGAGAAGATTGAAAAATGCATCTTTTAATCAAAGATTGAAGCATATACTGGTCTCCCATCTCACGAAAACCTTTATCTTTGTGTATCTAAGTGCGTCCATTGAGCAGGACTAATGCCGTCTGAGAGTATTGCATCAACAAGCAAATTCGTGGAATGTATATCCCCCGCTTGCAGGACATATTGTAGGTTACAATTATTGAGGTTAGGTTTAAACATTTGAGTATCGTGCTGTTGAGACATTAATGTATAGCTTGAACCTTGAAGAAGAAAAAAAGCTCTATACCTCATTGATTATCCGTAAATATGCAAAAATCACATTGGTTGGCAAACGTGGCATGAACAATATCTACAGAAATTATCACACGAAAACCAAAGAGTGCCTGAAATGGATGAAAAGACAGAAGAACACAAACATTGTTATCAAGTTTGAAGGAATTTGGCTAATATTTGCTAGAGTTATTAAGCGGAAACTGCAGATAATGACCTTTTTTCGTTAATCAAGGGGCAATAACTCTGTCAAATGGAGTCCGCTGAAAGTGGTCATCAAACTTCGCCGACCCCTGAAGGCATTTAACCCTGTGACGAAGTTTTAAGACAATCGGTTAACTTTGTTGTAGTTATTGCACGGAAACGAAGGGTGGCAGACAGAAAGACAGACGGACAAACCCAAATAAATATCCCCCGTTTTGGTGGAAGCGGGGGATACAAAAAATCAAGAAATTTCACAATAGAATTTTTAAAAAATATCTGTAAAATTCGCCCCTTCCCACACACAGAAAAGGAATCCGACTGAAACATAATTTACACATTTGATGAACTATGCATTGGTCTTTGTCCTTTGTGAAACTGAAGAAGATGGTTTAGGAACATTTGGTCAATTTCTCCACTTAAAGGCCACCTACTCACGGAATCAGCATCCCTACCCATGGGATTATTTTTCAACTCCTACACCGCCGCCCCCCCCCCNTACACTCACACACACCACACCCACCCACCACCCAACTAACATACACACCACACACACTTTTAGACGCTTTCCTTATGGCCCCAATTATGTCAGAGACCCAGTTATGCCAATTTATACAAATTTCTGATAGAGTCAGCCAATATACATTTACTTTATGACTTTACTAGAGGACTCGATCGTTTTGGGGTTTTTTGTAGTCGTGTTCACATGTTATGTTAGTTAACTGTGTCGTTTTTAAACCAAGATAATTTCTTTTAAGATTTCGCAAAAATATCCATCAGGATTAGTCTCGCCCACAAGCACGCTGGAAGGGCATGATCCTAATTCTAACAACTTCAGTTCCCCGTCCTCGTAAGTATAATCCCTGCCAATTGCAGTTTAAATCAAACCATTTCTTTCAGTAGAATTTGAAAATAAATGAATGAACAAAGCATCTGTTGCAATGACAGACGAAGGTTAATTGCAATCGTTTACCTTCGTCCAACTTGGTGCAAACTTTATGTATGATATCAAATATGTATAGACCTGCAAGTCATTATCGAATTGTTCAACAATTTCAAAATAACGTTTAAAAATTTAGATATCACAGATATTGTAAAATTAGAGTTACTACGGTAAATGTTCTGTGTTTCCCTGCTGTTCATAATATGATTGTACCGTTTATCCGGAAAACAAGTTTTCGGTAGCGTACAATAAATTACAAATCTTGCAAAAATTAGAATCATCGGTATGTGTTCAAGTGTTCGGAACATTCCTTTTCGGCCAATTTCATTCATAGGAAATAGTAGCAGGTGCAGTATCGAAGGGTTTCAATTCATGCCCACCACTATACAGTCGGGTCACTTCACTGACGAGTTTTTGGAACTTATTCAAAATATCTGCAATTAAAACCACATAAAGGGGTATTGAATCGCTCAAAGCTTTGTTAGGTTCGTTTGTAATCGAAAATGTCATTAGTATCAGCAAACATGTTGCAGAGTATGTGTTTATCTATCCCATATGATCTGGATGAATACATACAGATGTACACTTTAGTTTTAGGGATGAATGCAGTTATTCGCTGATATCCTCCAAGAAAATATGAATTATAAAGACTACTGTTCAATTGCAAATGATAAGTTTGATTTGAACACAAACAGGAACTGAAAACTTATTTTGCAAGCTTTCGAAAACCTCTGTTTCCTTTGTCAAGCAAAGTGTGTAAAACATTGTTAAATTGATAAAGCTTTGACCCGAGTCCACACGGTCTAATGCATTGTTAGCTTGTCGAGACTTGATACACTGTATTAGCTGAACAAGATATTAGAAGCATAGTTAGCTTATAGGAGCAAATGTGCGATTACCCGCGATATTATCGAGAAATATACTTATTTCGTTTCAAAAGCAATTACAAACAGGCAAGCAAAACATGTTTTTCTTGAAAGAAAAATCGGTTTGAAAAGCCATCATGTCGACTCAATTTTAAAAATACATATGAATATGTCGACATACGAATCTTGTCAAACTTAAGTCGATTGCAGAAAATTCGTAGAATTATTTAAAAAAATATTTTGCTTTTTTAATAACATTTTGCATCATAAATGTACATTGATATAAAATCAGATTGCCCAAAAACCTCAAACAGAGATAAAAAAAAAAAAATGCAGATTACAGACACAATTGAAAGTAATTTGATAAAAAATACACCGAAACTGCTTGGTTTCGATAGAGTGTCCATACCAATTTTCCTGAGAAATTTCCGTCAAAGTGAGAGGAATTAGCGGTCCTGTACTGTAACGTGCGACAAAACGTTACAAGGTTCGACATTAAACGCCTACAATATCATAAATCTGATAAGAATGATATTGAAATAGAGACAACAAAACTTCAGAATATTCAAGTCGACAGCTCGGTGGTTAACCATAACACCCATCTGTAACCGTGTTATGGATCCTTGAGGACAGAAATCTGGTAAAGCCATAGGAGACGCGGTACAGACCAAAGCCGTACTTACATGTATATCATACCCATACATAAAACAATGCGTTATATATTTTTTATTCTCTATCCATCAGGTCTGTGTATAAACTTTCGTCATGTTTTATACTTTCAACGATACGCAATGTATATAGCTTCGTTATTTTTAAAATTCTTAAAGTCTATTATGATATTTGAGACAATAATTTAATGATATTACAAATTCAATTACATATATACATGTTAATGTAAGACCTGATGACATGTTGGTTATTGAATCAACACAAAACTCGATGACGTGTCTGTTATTGCATGCACACGACAACTAATGACGTGTTTGTTATTGCATTCACACAAAATTTGATAACGTGTCTGTTATTGCATACACACGACAACTGATGGCGCGTCTTTTATGACATCCACACAAAACTTGATGAAGTGTTTCTTATTACATATTCACTCAAAACATTATTTTATGACTTGTCTGACATAATAATTGATTTAAATAACCCAATAAAGCAATCGGACTATGAATAAGGTATGCGACACGTAATAAAGTCATACATATATGTATTCGGAACACCTCTTGGGGGACTGCATTCATGTAATTTTAAAAAGAAAGTAATCGGACAACGGACTTTTACCACTTAAAAAGCAAGCCTACATGATGTAACGATATGTACCTTCGTGGGGCTCGCGGTTTGCAAAGTGTCATTCTCGGTTTGCAACGTGTCATTCGAGAAAGATAAAAGAAACTTAAAAATTTAAACGATTAGGTAAGGCATGTCTCGACTGGTTAAGACTACTTCACGGTCCTCCGATCAACAATTCACGCCTCTCAATGTCATTGGTAAAGTAAATATGACAAAACGGCCATATATATTTTGTGTTCTCGAGTTTGAAGTGTTTGTAAAGCGCATTACAAGGACCAGCAATAGCATGGTTGAGTTTACCCCACTTCTAGCTGTGTGTGTAGGAAGAGAAAAGAATACCCAGTATGGAATGGGCATTTCTGGTGTATATATATGTACAATCTGCACCTACTACCGAGTATATTGAAAACAACTGGGTTAAGGAAACTCGTGTAAAATACCAGTCCAACACAAAACATATAATACGGATGTGAAGCTAAGGAGCTCACTATCTTACTTCGCCCATTTTATTACCACATGGTAATATACAATCATGCAAGTGAGACCAGTGATCATTAAACGAGTAATCAATGGATCTATAAAACAGTTACCGACATCGGAATATGTTTCAATACATATCGATAAGTTAACCGATTCACGGAAACCATGACAAGTACTCTCTTGAAATAAGAAAAAATACCGGTCGATGGGGAAAGCCAAACATAGGATTTACTGCTTTTGTTTCAAACTTCTTTATTCTTCAGAATTCAAATCTGCGAAATGGGGAAAAAAGAACAAAT